ATATATATATATATATATATAATCAAACAAAAACTTTTGAAAAATATGAGCAAAATTAATGCAACAATGTACAGTATAAAGAAAAATATACATTGTGACCAAACACAAATTTCAGGTGCGGTACACAAGACTGAATTTTTGGGGTAGCATTTAAAAAATCAGTTAATCACCAGGTGTGGTGGCACATTCCTGTAATCCCAGCAATCGGGAGGCTGAGGCAGGAGGATCACTGATTTCGAGACCAGCCTGGGCTACATAGTGAGTTCCAGGTCAGTCTCAACTATGTAGTGAGACCCTGTCTCAAAAAGTCCCCCCAAAAAATCAGTTAATCTAACACAGTGGTGACAAGCCCACAGCACACACGCCACAGTGGACTATTCCTATCCCTGAAAACTCTCAAATGTTCTCCATCCCTAATGTATCACATCAACAGGCCAAAGAAGAAAATTACACAATTATATCAATAAATGCAGAGCCAGATGTGGTGGCACACACTTGTTAGTACCAACTAGGGAGGCTGAAGCAGGAGGACCTTAAGTTTGAGGGCAGCCTAGTCAACTTAGCGAGACCCTGTCTCAAAAGTCAAAAGAGCTAGGGGTGGGGCCCAGTGTTAGAGCACTCCTGAATTTAATCCCCCAGTGCAGTTAATCGGTTCAGTAAGCATTTAACAGATTTCAACAGATTAAAAACTCCAAACAAGCTAGAAATAGATGGGAACTTCCTTAGTTTCATGAAGGAAAGTGCAGATTAAAACTAATAAAATACAAGAGCAAACCTGCTAGAATTTAAAAGACCAGCAGTGGCAAGTGTTGGTGAAGAATTGCTGCAGCTGAAATGCATACACTGCTGGGAGGACGGAACGTGCAGACCCATCAGAAGGCCTGCGATCGCGTTTGGAGCAGCTTTATTCATAAAAGCATGGAACTGTTCGCAGCCTATATGTCCACCAACAGGAAAAAAGATAGATTGCAGTGTGTCCATGCACTGAATACCAACCAGTAGCAGGAGAAGAGTGTTGGCTGTGATCCTAGCTCCATGGGGGCTGAGGTGAGAGGACAGCCAGCTGAAGGCCAGTGGTCAATTTAGACCCTTTCTCAAAATTAAGATAATAGTGCCCACCATGGTCACATATCCTTGTAATCCCAGTACTCAAGAGTCTGAGGCAGGAGGATTGCTGTGAGTTCATGACCAGCCTGAACTAATAGTGAGACCCTGTTTCAAACAACAAAATAGCAGAAATAATAATAATATAATAATAATAATAATAATAATAATAATAATAATAATAATAATAATAATAATAATAATAATAATAATAATAATAATAATAATAATAATAATAATAATAATAATAATAATAATAATAATAATAATAATAATAATAATAATAATAATAATAATAATAATAATAATAATAATAATAATAATAATAATAATAATAATAATAATAATAATAATAATAATAATAATAATAATAATAATAATAATAATAATAATAATAATAATAATAATAATAATAATAATAATAATAATAATAATAATAATAATAATAATAATAATAATAATAATAATAATAATAATAATAATAATAATAATAATAAGGCTAGGAATGTAGCTCACTGGAGTGCTTGCCTAGCATGTTCATGACCATGGGTTCAGTCCCCAGTACTGCCCAAAAAAAGTGAACATCTGTTTTACGTGTGATAAAGATATGTGTTAAGGGCTGGGGATTTAGCTCAGTAGTTCTGCCACCTGCCTCGCAAGTGCAAGGTCCCGAGTTCGATCCCCAGTACCAAAAACAAACAAACAAAAAAAGATAAGTGTTGAGTAAAGGAAGACAGGACAAAAGAATATATGCTGTATGGTGTATTTACATGAAATTCAAAACTAGGCTGCATAAGTATGAGCCCAGCCTTGGCAACTTAGCAGAACATTGACTCCAAGAAACAAGAGGGGGTACAAGGTATTGGGTTATAATACAGTGCAAAGGCTTTGGGTTCATTTCCCAGTACCACACGCACACACATGAATAGGCAAAGCAAACTAACAGTACTAGCATTAGTGTGGTGGTAATACTGACTAGAAACAGGCAGAAGAGTGCCTGCTAGGGTATTGGAAACAGTCTGCATCTTAATCAGGGCAGTGGTTGCTACCAATTATATGCTAGATCAGGCTTATACCTATTTATCAGAGCAGCTGGCTGACTTTCATGAATTTTGCAAGCTAGTTGATATACCATGAAAGTGTACATACAGTACATGGTATTCCAAGTTGAGGAAGTTCAGTTGGTCACAGTTTGCAGCGTTCCCTGTCTCTCCCCAGCCCATGGCCTCTGACTGTAGAAGTAACCTAGAGACACAGAGAGGAGATGAGGGGTGGGAGGTCCCAAGAAACACTCTTCTCGAGCCTAAGCCAAGGAGAGTTGGAAGTGAGAAACCAGAATGCCATCCTCCATGTTTTGCCTAAAAAATATCACTTTATTTTGTTCATGAAATCAGCTCTCCCATATTTGACTTTTTCATCCTGCCTTTAGCAAATCAAGTTTTTCTTCTGTATTTTTGAAACAATAAAACAGTGGAAGGAAAATAACCAGCACACTGTACACAGCCTATCACAGGCTCCTTTGGACGTGATTCCAGGCCTGTGTCCTTTGGTTCTGAGCAGCTCACATTCTTACCCTTTTGCTTCGGCTTCTTCAGGAGCATTCTGGAAGAGTTTTCCGACTCCAGTTTGACGAATTCCAGATCGTCAGCAGTTCACACGATGACACCATCCTCATCTGGGACTTCCTCAATGACCCGGCCGCCCAAGCCGAGCCCCCCCGCTCCCCATTGAGAACATACACCTACATCTCCAGATAAATTCCCAAGGGCTCCTACTCACCCAGGTAGGAGCGGCCGTGTGGGGTCACCTCCCACAGCAGGAGAGGCAGGCAGTAGTAGGGGCCAGGCTGCCCAGGTGGGCCGCTGTCACCCACGCATCCAGCCTGCAGCCCAGAGGCTTTGGGGTCCTCCTGAGTAGTGGATCTAACCATTTCTACCCTGGTGAGATTGCTATGAAAATAAAATGAGGTTTGAATCTGCCCAAAAATGGGAGTCATGACCCAGCGCTTGTAGTGCCTGATCACACAGATGCATGCAGTAGAGACCCTGTAAGCCACCAGTTGGTGAAGGCGCTTGGTGACCCACCCGCATCTCAGCTCCACACTGTTACTGCACTCCAGTTGTAAAAGGTGCCTGGTGAGGTCTCAGCCCACTCCCTGTCCCTCCTGCAGAGATGCCTGCTCTGAAGTACAGTGAGGAGTGCTGCGGAGAGATGCTATCTGTAAAAGTCTTACCTACCACATAATATGCCCTCAGAAATTGCTCATTGTTTTTGTTTTTGAGGCTTGGTCTCACCATGTGTATCAGGCTGCTCATGGCAATCCTCCTGCCTCAGCCTCCTGAGTGCTGCCCAGCTGCTGATTGTTATCAATATTGTAATTATTTTGTACCTATTCCCACTTTGTACCATAGTTTTCTCCTCCTTAGATTTAAGCATTTTGCCTGGCTTTTTAAAAGGTGAATGCTAGGTATTAAATCCAGGGCCTTGGGCATGCTGAACCCAGGTTCTTCTACCACTGCAAGTGTACTCTTCACCAACATTTGTATTACTGTCCCTAACTCTGGTTGCTTATATCTTTGTCCTCTCACCCCTGAAACAGATATCCCCCAAGGGTGTCTCAGGTGTTTCTGACATGTGTGAGCTCCCTTCCTTGGCTCATTTATCTTTTCCTAAAGCTTTAAGCTCCTGTTTCACATTTATGTGTACACAACTCAGATGCGTCCCTCCAGTCCCACTGGCTCTGCCTTCGCTCCAGCACCATCTTCACATCTATGCTTGATGTGCTGGGCACTCCAGAGCTTCCGTCCACAGTTCCTCAGCCAGACACCAGGCCACCTTCTCCTGTCCCTGTCTCTCAGTAGTCTGCCTGCTCCACCACACCAGGCCAGGCCTGGCCAGGGTGCAGCAAAAGCATGGCACTGCCCGGCCTGCAGACATTAGCACAGCTCTGCTCCTACACTCGGCAGCAGCCTGAGCATCAGCAGCCTCGCCCTGTAGAAGTAATTCCTCTGTCAAGCCCAGACCTCTGACAAAGCCACACTGCATGTGCGGGGAGCAGCCGCTGGAAAGGGCCCCAAGACCTTTCCCCCAGTTGACAGCCACATGACTGTTCTGCTCTCAGAGCAAGTGAGAAATACAGGGAAAGGGGCTACTGACTGTTTGCTGTTTCCACACAGGACTCGTTAAGGTTGCGGGATTTAATGTTTCTGCAAAGACCAGGACAAACAACAACAGCAACAATCAAACTCCTGCCTGGGTCCCTGGACCTGTGAGGGGCAGGGCTTCACGACTCCTGGTGGGACACAGTCGGTCTGCAGCTGACCAGGATAGCCACTCAGCACGGCCAGCTGCTCCAGTGCTGCTATCAGAAGACGTCTCTGTCTCGTGTGAATGATGGGGACTTGAGCATCTCCCTCCCTCTCCCTCCCTCACACCCGTTTTTCCATTGGGTTCCAGAAAGAGATGACTTATAAATATATTTAGTGTTTGGACAGGATCTCTCTTGCTTTGCCGTTAAGCAGAACCAATTTCCCCCTATAGCCCACTTCTAGGGCCAGGAGGATGCAGCTTCCGGGCAGACAGAGCCAGTGTAGCCCTGGAACTACAGGGCCGGCACCTGGCCAGAGCAGCGGAGTCGTCTCCCTGCCAGCCTCCAAGGGTGAGAAGAGAAAGCGAATGCACCTGCTGGAGCCCTGGGCCTCTGCCTCCACTGTCTGCTGCACCCCTCTCCCTCCTCCCCCAGGCCTTCACCGGAGGAGAAGCTGTGGCAAGTGTGTCCCAGTCAGCAGGGCGGATCCGCCGGAAGAAGCCATCTGAAGGAGGTGCAGCAGTGGAGTCTCAGAAGTCACACCCTCGTCATACTGAACCTCCTCCTCCTCCTCCTCCTCTTGGTCCCCCGCCCTGGGCTCGGTCAGTGGCTGCATCTTCCTGGACTCAGCAGTCTCCTGGATTCCATGTCGAGTATGGAAAGGAGTTGCTGATTGCATTTCCTCTCATTAACAATTAGATGTGTAATAAAAAGCGTTGTGCTTCATCTTAGTCACTGGTAAGGCCCAGCCCACAGAAAAGCTGCCGTGGCCAGAGCCAGCTGCTTGGTGTGTCCTGCACAGTGGCTTCTGTCTCATTCCCTCCTCAAAGCCTGCCAAGACCACGGGAGGAGCTTAGGAGACAGCCCGGGGAAGCTGGTTTCTTTCCTTTTGGAGATTGGTTCACTATCTCAGCCTTGCATCGCAGAGCCTTGTTTCCAAACCAACCATTTGCTAAAGGGCAGCAGTGCCGGAGAGGGCATCAGGTTCAGGTTTGGCACACAGGGTTTATTGGTGGGGCAGAAACTGCCTCCACTCTGCTTCCTCCTGGCTTTACTTTGCTCTCTCCTCCCCCACCAGTAAAATTTCTCTGGCAGCTGAAAAACATAAACAAATGGACACTGCAAGGGTAGCCTAACCCGGCACCTTGGAAAGCAGCTGTGTGGGCTGCAGTGTAAGTGGGCATGTAACACGCCGACCAGAGAGCATGATGACTGCCAGCTTGTTTGAGGGCCTTGAGGGGCGGCCTGGGCAGAAACAGCAGCCCTGACTGTTCAGTCTCGCTTTCCATGGAGGCTGAGCCGTGAGGCGCCTTGCACCTCTTCCTAGTCTTGCAGTTGAGCCTGAGAAAACCCCTTCTCACATGGCTGCCGTAAGAGCAGCAGGCGGGTACCAGGTGTGGGGGCCTCTGGCTGGGCCCCGCTGGCCCAGCAGTGAGGGCGTCTTCATCCTCCACTGAGCTGCAGGCAGGCGTCCCTCGGTGCTGGACCAAGAGAGAACGTGGGGAGAGGCGGGTTGTTGGTATGCAGTTTTCCTTTCCTGCTTTACAGCTACTTTTAAGCTTAGTCTCAAGTCATTCATAACTTATTTCCTCGGTGTAATTCCCTTCCCAGCTACCAGAATGCTACAGAGAATTGTTTGCTCCGCCACTGTCGGGCTTCCTTGTCTGTTACGTTGAGCATTAGTGGCTCTGATTGGTTAGGGTTCTGCTCAGATGAAAGAGCTGTCAGCCCTACAAACAGGGCGGACACCAAACAGGTATAGATCGAAGCTGTTGCAGATGTTGTCCAGTTCTGTTCATGCTGCCACCCGGAGGGAGCAGGGCACTTGCGTGGCAAGAGTGAAGCCCTTGGTGCCGTGCACAGCACCACAAAAGGAGAATAAAATGGGCAATTGAGTAGTCGGGGCCAGGGATTCACTGAGTGCACTGCTGAGAAGCTTGTGTAGCCCCAGGTGAGGCTCTTCTCCACGCTGTCCTCTGCTGCCAAAGGGAAATGGAAGTGGTCTGAAAAGTCGAATTGTTCACATTTCTCGGCTTTGGGGGTCGTTTGCTAGTTCATTGTAGACGAAATAATCAGGTAAGTAGAAGTTCATTTCCAGAGCAGGTGAGCCCCACTTACCATCTCTGCGTGATTTCAGTGGGAACTGATGATTGCTAATTCCCACTGAGATTAAAAACAGGGAAAGTTTGACCTTTGTGGAGAAGAGAAAGGCACTGAGGCTCATGTAAAGGGACGTAGAGAAGGCTGCGGGTGTTCTCTGGCTCAGAAGTGTTCCCGTGTAGTTTTGTCTCTTTTCACTAAAATTCGCTTCCACTGAAACCTTTCTTTAAAGATGGGTAGGTGAAGCTTGTGCACGCGTGAACGCCACTGCCGAGAGCTTCCTTCCACTGAAGTGCAGTTTGGAAGTGGAGCTGCATTTGGGAGAGGCCTTTCACGCCGTCCCCGGCTTGCTTCTTTCTCATAAGTCCTCACCGCAGAGAGAGGCTGCGGAGCGGTTAGCCCATTAAAGCCTGGCACCCAGAACTTTTTTGGGGGTAGAGATTTGTTCTTGGGGGTTGTTTGCTTCATCTTGGTACTGTCTAAAACCACAGAGGAGGAAGTATGTGCCAGTTGCTGTCTTCTGACAACAAACATCTGAAAAGCTATCACCGGTCTCAGCATTTGATTGTGTGTGGAAACAACTTAGGATGAGGGTGTGGATGAATACTGGAACTAATGAGGGCTATTCGTTCTTTCCGAGAATGGGATTAGATTCCTTGGTATTGTTGAGCCTAGTGTCTTTTTCTGCCTTCGATGGTGATTCCTGGTAACCCGGGGTGGACGCAGTCTGGTGCAGAGTAGCACTGGCCTGAGGTCAGCCAGGTGTAAGGTAGATGCAGGCTGCCGGAAGGTCCGCAGCTTTGGCATGCGCCAGACGGGTAGGGGACCATCTCATGGCAGCCGTACAGACCGCCCCTGTTGGGAGTGGAGCCGAGCTGTGCTTTAGTGTTCTAAGCTTAGTTCTTCGTGGTGTCCGAACCCGTGGAAGTAGAGAACAAAGCATGGTCATGGCTGCTTCGTTAAGGCCGAACTTGACTCCATGGACACGGAAGAAACCCTCTGATGGAAGTTGATCCCCCATAGTAAACTCCCTTAAGTGTGTGCTTCCTGACGCCGGCCAGGCAGGGTTGCGGTGTGTGTGTGTGGTGGCTTCCCCACCCTCCTCCCCGTGGACGCTGCAGGTTAGTCAGCCCTGGGTCCTGGGAAGCCAACACCTTCCCAGGACTCAGAGCCCACAGTGGGGACAGCCTGGTGGCACAGGAGTCGCTGAGAGCTGTGGCCGCTCCTGTACCCCCCCTGTCCTGACAGTGTGACGTCTGTGATTGTTCCAGTGATGTGTAGTCAGTGTGCCTGTGTGTTCACAACCTAGGACTATGGTAACAGTGTTTTGGTTTTTTTAACTTCAGAAAAAATAATTTAAATGACAAATACATGATTAAAGTCAGTTTCCTAAGTGTGTGTTTTTTCCCCTAAGTGTCTTGTCTGAACCTACATGAGAAGAACTGTAACTGTCTCGGTGAACGGATTGCACACATCTGCACACACGGCAGTTAATGCCTGCTAAGGTGACCGGGCTGGAGGCATGGCCGAGTCTGAGTTCCCTGCCTGCTCCTGGTGCTCTTTGATCAAGGCGAAGCCACACTGACGTCCAATTTGCATGTCGGTCATCACCACTGACCACAGCCCAAGCTGAATCCAGGACTGAAGTTCTCTACCGATGGGTAGGTGAGAAGACTCCAGTTTCCCCTGTATCCCTTTGACACATGTGGAGGCCAGCGTGCTCACCATGCAGCACTTCTGAGAAACGGCTGGGAGAGGGGCCCAGTGGGCCCCTTGCCCTGGTGCACATGCCCTCCAGGCAGAGCAGCCAGGCTGAAGGCCAAACCACAAAAGGCCCCTCCCCACCCTGGTGTTACAAGCAGCACCCTTGTCAGAGCCAACTCCTGGTGTCAAACCTTGGGCTTACAGGGCCAGCATTCCTGCCCGGCTGTTTGCATCAGCTGTCTCTGGCCATTTTTGTGGCTCTGGCTTTGGCAGCATGGAGCCCAGTGCAGAAGTGATGTTGGGACTAGAGGGGTATCGGAGTATTATGTAGACCCAGCCTTTTGTCAGTGACGGAGCAGGAGCAAGAAAAAGGACCCAGCCGGGCATGGGGTTTACACCTGTAAACCCTGCACTGGGGTGGCTGAGACGGGGTGATTTGCATGAATTGAGGACAGCCTGGGCTGCCTAGTGAGACCCTGTCTCAGAAAAATAAAAGGGACCCACATTACCAAGACCACCCTGGCGTCTGCTCCCAAACAGGCCTCACCCCAGAGGTCAGCACAGGGCAGGCACTGCAGCCAGCCACATCGTGTGCTGGTGTCCAGAGCACAGGCCTGAGCGGGGCCGAGCCTGGGGCTCACGGACCTCTCTCCAAACCACTTAGACCTGCAGAAATTGCGGGGGAGAACAACTCTGCAGCCCCTGTGCATACGTCCAGGCTGAGCCTGGATCCCTCCTCCTTGAACCGATGGCTGTGTGCCATCAGCAGGGATGAAGGGGAGGAGACCTCTTCCTTCTGATTGGCTCTTGCCAATTAAGAGCATTTTATTAGGCTGCTAATTAAAGGCACTTTGTTAGCAGCAGGAGAGGCCGGTGGTGCCTGGTGATGGAGCAGCACCAGGAGAAATTGTTTTCTTCCCCGGTGGAAGCACAGCCTCTCCCGCTGCGCCTGCCACACCCCTTGCTTTCAATTAACAGCTCCGAGGGGAGTGGGGTCATCACAGAGCCCAGCCAGAGCCCTGCACCAGCGCAGGCGCAGGAGGCCTCCCCGCGGTCCAGGTCCCGGCACCTGCGCCTGGCCCGGGTGGGAGAGGCTGCCTGCAAGCTGGCCCCTGGGACCCTCCCCAGCAGGGCGGTCACAGTCTCCGCTGCCCACACCCTTGGCAAAGGCTCCCGACATTGTGGGGCAGTTAGCCCCGTCCCCAGTCACTGCAGCGGGTCCAGGGAGCCCCGTTCCTCCAGCTCCCCTGCTGGAGGAGGGGAGGGACTCACTGCAGCCTGGCGGCACATGGGGGCTGGCACGCCGGGTCGCCAAGGACACTCCTCTCCACGGCCTGCTCACCCCTCACTTAACTGCAGAATTAGCACCGGCCCAGGCTGGGCGGGCAGATTTATGGCAGGGCCTGCCTCCCTCCATTTAACCCGAGGCCGGCCTGGGCTCCAGACACTAAATTAGATTTTTGACAATTAGAGAGACTAATGGGCACACAGCCATCCCCAGAGCCAGATATCCAGCAAGGCCGTCCTGCAATATCCACTGCTGGCCGGACTGCCGTGCGCCGCCCACCCCACTGGCTCTCGGGTGGGCGCCTCTTCCCTCCAGCACAGCCTGCCCTGTCGGGCTTGTCCCTGCTTTCTCCTGGGCATCCGGCCTCCTGTCCATCCCGCCTTCCCCAGGGCCTGTCCCTCTGTAGGCTGCTCATGTTAGTCTGAGCAGACTGCAAGCCTCTTGAGGGCAGGGCCGGCGGTCCTCAGCACCCTCCTCCCTGGGTCTCCGCCCTTGTGGCCCGGCCCCTTCCCTGCGGCCCGCGGCTCTGACCGGGCTGGGCCTGCTGTGCGGAGATTGCGGTAAGTGGCGTTGGGGGGGCTGCTCACCCTCACTCAGGCAGACTCATAGCTCTGTCAGGCTGATTGGTCCTGAGTGGAAGCGGAAACGGCCCCCCACGGACACGCTGAGATTGGTTATAAAATTACAAGCATTTGTTCTGCTGTCAGTGTCCTTCCCTCCCTCCCCTCCGCCTGCCCGCCCAGGCTCCTCTCCACCCAGCCCGTCCTCTGTCCCCTGTGGTCAGCCCGCCCACCCGAAGGGCCTGGCCAAGGCCATCAGCCTACAGGGAGGGCCGGGTCGTCGAGCTCCCCCTCAGGCGTCAGGCAGACCTCTCTGCCTGGGCCATGCCTCAGGGAGCACCCTGACTGTGCAGCCTCCCTCTCCCTGAGGGGACGTGCGGGTGGGGCCTGCCTGGTGCAACCTGAGGTGTGGGCCGGGCAGGGGCTAGAGAGGGCAGCTGGGCTCCGCTTCCACTCCTTCAGATGGCCAGGCTGCTGCCCTGCACTGACCCCGCAGAAGGACAGACACCACCCCCCACGCGCGTGCGCGCGTGCAAACTGACTCCCGCACGGGCCCTCTAGGGTCCTGGCATGGACCCAGGGGCACACGCCCAGAAGTCTGCTCAGGCCCCGCCCCGCATCACAGCCCTCCGTCTGGGGGCAAAGTTACAGGGTGCGGAGGGGAGAGGTCCCCAGGTTAGAGGGCGCACCTCCCGGCTGCTGGCCACACCGGCCCCCTGCCACCCGCCATCATGCTCAGCCTCTTCAATGAGGTTGGCACTGGCTTATTGTTCGCCAGCCATGAATCAACTCCTGCTTGCCGCTGTCCCTCTGTCCAGCACCGACAGGTCAGCTCTCCCAAGTCTGGGGGCTGGGAAGGGTGCTCCAGAAGCAGTTCCCGGTGCCTAGCCCCAGGGGTGCAGCTGTCCTCCCTGTCCTGCCCCGAGGCCTCCCGCCAGGGTCCGGGCAACACTGCAGCTCTCCTCACTGCCACAAGATGTCTCTGCTGCTCGCTGGCCAGGCACCGCTCCCCCAGCCCCGCATACCCATGCCCTGTCCAGCCCTGGCTCACTTGGGCTTCACCTGCATAGCCACCGTGGGCCACCCTCGTGGCCCGCAGGAGCTGACAACTTCCCACGTTTCAGCTCTCAGCTGGGGGCTCACACTGGGCGATCCTTCACTCCGTGAACTCACCAGGGTCTCCGACCATAGTGGGGCCTCTGCCTTGGCTACAAGCCCAGGACAAGGTGGCAGGTGGTGCCGTCCCGTGTCCCATGACTGATTGGATGGGTCAGTCGTGAGGGGACATCCATGCTCCTTGGGAGGCTGTGTGCTAGGGGCTGGGGTGGACAGCAGAGGCCAGGAAACCCAAGGCTGTGGGGCTAGAAACTGACCTGGCTCCAAACCCAGCCTGGCACCTACTGGCTGTGACTGGGTGAGTTGCCTGGCCTCCATTTCCTCTTATAAATAGGGCTGGTACAGCTTCCCTCACATACAAGAGCCACCCTGGCCCACTTCTACATGAAGGGTCCAGGGAAAGGGCAGCTGAGCCCGCTTTGTTTGGGTTTTTGAGACGTCTCACTATGTGGTTCAGGCTGTCCTTGAACTCTCTATGTAGCCCAGGCTGGCCTCCAACTGGTAAGAATCTTCCTGCCTCAGTCTCCCAAGTGCTGGGATTACAGGTGTGCACTGCCATCCCTAGCTTGAGCCCACTTTGGCTGGACCAGTGGGTACCTGGAGCTGGGAAACAGACCCCTGGTTTGAGACCTTGCCAACTAAGGCTCTATTGGGCACTGGGGGACAGCAGGGCTGTAACAAGGGTGGCATAGAACTGGGCGTCCCTCCAAGTCTGAGGGCTTGTCCCCAGGGAGGGAGTCTGTGCCTTGTCTGCTGGACCCAGCTCTGTGATGGGCGGGATAGAAGGGCCGATGCGTGTGTCCCCTGCCCATGGACTCTGCGCCACAATTCTGTGACTCCTGCACTGAAGAGCCTTGTGCCCCGGGGACCTCTGCACCCTGTGGCCTCCCAGGGTGACTGGGCTGGGTGGGAGGGCTGAGCCGCACCTAGCGGTAAGTATGTGCAACATTACATATGTATATTGGAGAGTAAATAACCCCAAAAAGCGCCTGTAAATAGACTCCGAGTTTATCCTTTATTAATGAGGCACCGAGTGCCCCGCTGTTTTAGAGCAGCGAGACTTTCATAATATCAAAACCTAAATTACACTTGCGGCTCATCCCCGGGATGTACATCCTGGCTGTATCTTCAGTGAGAGTAGGAATCCCTCCCTCTGGGCTGGGCTTTGCTCACCTCTCCAGGCCTCACAAGGGTGGGAGGCTGCGTGTGCACACCCAGCCCCAGGCTTCGCATGCCAGGCCCTCCGGTGGGAGCTGCCAGCTTTTGCTGCCCAGCTCTGGGCTTCGGGGCCAGGAGGGGCACCAAGTCCCCAGCCTGTGTCCCTGCCACAGCCCCTCCTCGCTGGCTGGCCATGAGGACAGGCCGGTGCACAATAGGCACTTTCGGGTGGGCAGTGACTGTGACCACAGTGCCGGCTGGCTCCTCTTTGGGACAGGACACCTGTGTCTGCTGCAGCTCCGAAGGGACACGTGTGGGCCGCAGACCCCCAGCAGCATCCTGCAGCCAGGCCCAGCCCGGGGGACACCGCTTTCCCACCCAGGCCCTTGGGGACTGAGCCTGCAGTGCCAAGGCCGGGCTGGGCCAGTCCAGAGGCAGTGGGCAGCAGGCGCGGCGGGGGCAGGATTTACAGCTGTGGGCCGGCCGGGTGCTGTGGTGCGCCGTGTCGGACCTGTCCTATTATATGGACAGTTGGCTTTAATAGTCATTGTGCGTTCACTTGAAGCCCAGCAAACATCGCGGGGCGACACCCCCTCCATGAGAGCCGTCGCTCCCCAGCCACACGGCCCATCCACACAGTAAATTAAAAATATGAATCACTTCTCCCCACTGCCTCCCCAAACGCTCGTCTTGTCAGCCTCTGTGTTGCCTTCATTTGTATTACCTTAATTTAATGTTAATTATGGTCTTCATTTACAAGGAACAAGCAGCCCTGCTCTGCCAGGGGACCCTCCCGCCCTCCCCCTCAGCCAGGAGGGAGAGGCTGGAGGAGAGGCGAATTGGGGCGGAGGTGTTAGCCAGGCTGGTGGCCATTCTGGGAGGGGCGGGAGGTCCCCACCTCCTGTCACTGGTCCAGCAGCTGCTTACTGACCAGGTAGCCTAGGACCCGAGAGACAGGCGGCCTCTGCCCAGTCAGGAACGGTGCCACCGCTGAGGCCAGCGTGGGAAGACAGCCAGCCCGGGCGGCGGACCCGACCCGACAGGGTCTTCTTTCCCTTCCTTCCAGGTAGGAAGTCGCATGGAGTCTTCCAAGTTCCTCCTGCTGCAGATGGCCAGCCCGGAGCGAGGGTGTGGGGTGCTCGGGTGACCGCGGGCCTACACTGTCCCCAAGCCCGGCGGGTGCAGTCACATGCGGGGCGGTCCATGGGCTCCGGACCTGCTGGCGGCAGGTGTCACGCGAGGAGTTGGCACGGGTCCCCCCGAGTTCTGCGTGCACTAGTGTGCGATGCGCGCGCAGCACACACCCCCACCCGCTGTCAGCGCGCTGATGACAGTGGCATAGCGGAAAGCGATGACAAATGCCCGTTATCAGCGAACGAGGCCGATGACAAATGGGCGGGCGCCCGAGCAGCCCCATTACGCTGTAATAACAGAAGATGGATGGCCCGGCCCGCGGCCCGCGCTGTGAC